ACGCATGCTCACACCAATCATATACAACTCCAAAACAAAGGATTTGAGAAATATAAAACGCCCTTGAAATGTTGACAAAAATGCATTGAGATGATTTTGATTATTTTGCTGATATAAATTTCAAAATGATAAGCCACTTTGTTGAGCTATCAATTGCGGCCGTTGCTTCTGAAAAATAAGCTAATCCCTCAGTGGGCTTTGCCTGGTAGAATGGGGATGGTTTAGCGTTGTATTTGTTTGTGTTCAGGTGATTATTTTACCGTTCTTGTACTTAGCCCTACTATCATGTTTGTGTATTATGTGTGTTGTTGTAACGTTCTTACCCGCCCTGACTGAACATCTTTGAAAAAGAGCTTTATAGCTCATCGAATTTCTACAAGATCAATAAATATTCCGATTCTGATTTGAATACAACGAGGGGGTGAGAGTAAGCAGAACGATCTACAGCGGAAGTGAAGCCAAGAGTCGGGAGAGGGGGTTGGGTCACTCCATTGTCGTACAGAGACATGGGTGACCTCGGCACACAAAACACAACTGACTTCCACTCCTTCTCGAATCCACGCGATACCTCGTACTGTCTCTCAGTGTAAGCACAAGCATGCCTCTCTCCATGCTGTTATGCGCACTCCATTTTGTTGTGTTTGTTACTGGCCAAGTTTATTAACCAAATGTCATGTACATGCCGTGCTATTGCCCTGTCAATCTGAATTTTCGCGGACTCTTAATCATAAAGGTTTCTTTGCGTACATCCAATGTTCCTCTAACCAGGACAATATACTTGCTCTAAGCACTGCTGTGTGATCGGGTGGCCGAGCGAGCTATGATATGGGCAAAACAGGCAAAACGCAGAGGTTTATGTTGAAGGCCAGCAAAGTGGCATGGCATTCACATTAATTACCTGTCGTTCACTGACAGCCTCCATTCATATGCAATGACCAGTTTCAATATTGCTTTGCTACCAAGAGGTTCATGTAAAGCTACCAGCTTTCTAAGAGGCTCACTTTTTCAATAGCCACACCCACTCCGCTGATGGCACTGTCCACACAGTGAGCATCACGCAGTGATTAGCCACACCCACTCGACTACTAACACTGCCAACATAGCAGCCACACCCACTCGACTGCTAGCACTGCCCACACAGTGATCAGCCACGCCCACTCGACTGCTAGCACTGCCAACACAGCAGCCACACCCACTCGACTACTGGCACTGCCCACACAGTGATCAGCCACGCCCACTCGACTGCTAGCACTGCCCACACAGTGAGCACCCACACCCACTCCACTGCTAGCACTGCCAACACAGCAGCCACACCCATTCGACTACTGGCACTGCCCACACAGTGATCAGCCACGCCCACTCGACTACTGGCACTACCCACACAGTGAGCAGCCACACCCACTCCACTGCTAGCACTGCCAACACGTTGATCAGCCACACTCACTCGACTGCTAGCACTGCCCACACAGTGATCAGCCACACCCACTCGACTGCTAGCACTGGCCACACAGTGAGCAACAGCGTTCCACTCTCTCTCTGATGTTGGCTCTGCCTACTTCTCTGTCATCTTAATGGTTTTTTTCTACAAATTTTTTTTTTAGTAATTTGTCCGAATTTTATTTTGTTACTGAATTTTGTCCTTAAAATTGATTATGATTGTGCAATGTTTTCGATAATTTTTAAGCAATGCAGTTGTATTTATTCTAAATTCCATGTCTGATTTTTTTTATTGCCCTGCTTTTAGTTTGCGTCATTGCTGCACTTGCTGTTTTTGCTTTTGCCTCTTTTTTTTAGCGACCCAAGGTCACATTTGGCCCTTCAGTTCTCAGCTGGTTCAACAAAACAAATTCACCTCCGCGTTGTGCCCATATCACGAGTCGGGAATGAGGCCACGCGTGCGTCATATTTGAAACCCAGACAAAATCACGATGTTTACAAATACTTCGGTGGGGGGGGGGGGTGTGTGGGGGGGGAGGGACACAATGGGACAGCCTCGCTGGACATTTAGTAGCTGTCGGTTGACGAGGTTACGTTCTCGCAGCGCGAGCAACAACATTTCACGAGATCTGCACTGCAATAAACAGAGGTGTTTTGCGCAGACATAAAAAAAAACCCAGACAGCAGCAATAATCCTATGGCCACGTGCTCACAGCCAGCTTCCGCGAATATCCCGTCTTTCACCAAGCCTTTTTGGATAACTCACAACAGTGTGGGTGTGTTCCATTCGTTCCGGGAGAGGGTTTGTCACAGCACGAGCTGTCAGCATGCGCACACATGCATGCATTGAGCCCCCCCCCCCCCGCCGCCCACACACAAAGCTCCTCCAGCCCCCCCCCCCCCCACACACCCCACGCTACCCCCCACACAGAGTCCGCATGCCGGAGTCTGCGTACGCGGATTGCGAAAAGCTGCAGGCGGACAGAAACTTGTGCGTGTGCACGAATCAGCGCACGAGGCAGCAATGTGAATCGTGCACCGGTGTTGTAGATGGTGGGGAGGCACTGATGTATACCGTGACCTACTGCAATCGAAACTCTATAGAGTCAAGCAATCATAATAAACTCTTTCCGGTTTTTGTGTGTGTGTCTGCTTGCGGTAATATATTAAACCCACGCAAACGTACATATGCACGCACACGCGCGCGAATATACTATCACACCTATATACATACATGCATGTGTAATGATTTCAGTTAGAGCTGTATAGGGCTGAGCTCCAACTGAAATCATTACACATCCATGTATGCAGTTAAGGCGGTGGTTGGGTCTGGTGGTTTGGCGTTTGGACAATAAATACAGTATTTTGTGAAGAATTAAGCTCTCCATAAAAGCCACTAGATCTTGAAATTCTGTCATGTCGCTGTAATCCCAGACTGGGCTATCCTTTACTCCTTCGGATTTTCTCGACCGGAAAATGAAATGGAGAAAGAAAACTCCACCTCGCAACCTTCAGACAGTAATTGCATCACGTTAACTTGACGTTACAAGCGGACCGCCGCTCACGACGTTAAACCGATGGGTGCCACAATTTCACCGAGGTCCAGAGTCAATGGCTCGGGCGTTACCGTTCGCTGTCAGGACAGTCGAGTGCACCGAGGTCGACCTCCCCGTGACGGATACGGACACGCCGAGACACCCCAACGGGGGCCAGGGACCTCGCCGTCACTGCGTGGCGGTCGCTCACCGCCCCTCATTAGCATCAGCCGTCCTCTATCTACTGCTAGATGAAAGCTCCCACCCCCCCCTCTCTCACCCCCCCCCCAACCCACCTCGTCACCATTCGTCACGGTCTCGCGACGCCTCGATCCATCTCGCCCCTGCACGCGAGCCGACCTCTTGGCTGCATCTCCACAGTGGTTGGTGATTTCGTGTTTGTACGTGCATGTATGTATCTGTGTTGAACTTCTTTCGCACCGTACGTAGCCAACCGTGCAAATCGGAGGTGCGGGGGGAAGGACAACAAACTAAAGGCAAAAAAAAACAGTTCTTGGGTCCGTTTTCTCGCTGAGGCTGTTACTTAGCCACTAGTATCATTCGTCGGCCATCACATCATTCTCTTGAGCGATGTGTCTGGCTTAAGGTCGCTTTATTTTTCTGAACAAGTCCGTAAAATGTTTATAATTTACATGTAGGTCATTTCTATTTTTTTTTGTTTTTTTTATACATTTCCACGTGACAAGCCACTTTGTTGAGCTATCATTTGTGGCCAGGTCGCTTCTGAAAAATAAGTTAATCTCTCAGTGGGCTTTTCCTGGTGAAAGTGATTTGCTTACTTTTCCTATGCTTTGCACTCCTGTCGTGTTTTCATATTGTCTGTTGTTGTCACGTTCTGACCCGCCCTGACTGGACATCCGTGAAAAATAGCTTAATAGATCATCGGATTCCTCCAATACAAAGAAATATTCCGACTGATTTGTGTTCTGCGTTCCGTGCCCTCTCTCTCTCTCTCCGTTTCCCCCTATAATTTCAAGCGCGCACATCTCCATACTTACACAGCAATCACTTTGTCACGATTAAAACACCACTTCTAAGAATGAATTATCTACATTAGCACCCACGGCGTAGTTAATTAGTGCCCCTCAAGTGGCGCAACAGAAACTGGAGCCCATGGGTTCTGAAGATTCCTAGATGCCGAGTTACAAAGGGGGTGGGGAATTGGCCAGGAGGGGTCTATTTAATTCCTTACAAGAGGGCCCATGCCAACCACATTACCCTCAACTTATGAGTACATCTCTATCCTACTGAAACTGGCACTGGTCATTCATAAGTTAATTTGCACTTTGACAGCCAAGGTCGTATTGCTCTTGTTGTTGTTGTTATCGGTTTGTTGTTGATACTCTATGTCTTGACTCAGTTGACCGCAGGCACCGCTGTGGCCTGGGATTCTCTCTTTGAAGGATTGCACCTCGTTTGAGATGCCACGAGGCGCGGCGCTACAGTATTTGTGAAAAATGTGTCTAGATTCTAGAGATTTCACTTTTCAGTTGAAATTGTAGAAAGCGATTTTTAAAGCACACACACACGCGCGCGCGTGTCAGCAATTCTAGCCTGCATTGAATATAAACATTTAGACAGCATCAGCACTCCCTCCAACATCATAACACCGACAGAGTATACCCACAGTGCACGTCAGAGGAAAGACAGAAATACAAACGTCGACCTACCGTAAAAATAAGCGAAGGGGTCCACAAAGAATCGGAAAATAATCATAAAAAAATACAACCAAAGAAAAAAACAACAAGGCCAACAAGGAATTATGAAATTCCAAACCGAGTCACAGTACCGGGCAAACGACAGCGTGAGCTCAATCCCTTCCCTTAAAAACACATCCGCCTGTCCTTAGAAGGTGGCTTGCTTCGCTCCGCGTGGCCGCCTGTGGAATCCCCACGATCCCTTGTGGGCCCTGTGGCTTTCTTTTTTAAAATTTTGCCCGCGCGCGTGGCCCAATCTCAGTGTGCAACCCGTCCCGCCCGCTCCACCCCCGCACGCGCACGCACGCACCTGCACGTACAGCTCTTCTGCATCACCTCTGCGCGGTGGTAGCCAGAGAGCTTGCAGAAGCCGTCATTGCTGTACACGATGGGCCAGTCGACAATTTGCGCGTTTCCCAGCAGGAAGTTTGCGTCTGCAGATTCGGGAGACAAACAGAGTTGGGTGAGTTGCGCAGAGGACCTTGCAAGCAGCAGGTTAAACATCGCCGCCGCCTCCGTGATGTTGCAACAAATGCCCGCTGGCATCCAGCGAAAGAATAACAGCAACAACAACAGCAGAAGAGCATTTACCTGGGAACACCACTTGGGTCTTGCGACTCATTCATGCAGGAAAATAGTGTCTACATCACGAGTGGTGGCAATGTGCGAGGCGCGGTGCGGAGGAGCGGTAGTCTATTGGCGAGCGAACTTGGCTACGAACACGGCGACCCGACTTTGATTGCCGCTCAACGACCAACAAAAACAGTGGCAAATATATATGAACCGGTCGACTCAACCTCACGCGAGTACCTAGTGCAGTGCGTTGAACATCACCATTCGGGAGACAAAGGCGGTCGGGCGTTGTGTTGGCCACCCACCCAGTCGTGTGCCGTCCCCCCCCCATCCCTTCGCGTGTGCTCACTAAGAGCAACTTTGCCCCAACTATCTGCAAAAAGGCTATGCGGGGGATCTTTGTCTTTGTGTGAGACGTGCCACGGTTAACGGTAGTAATCCGTGGGTGGATTATCCAGGTTGCGAATTAACGTTGCTCATTCGCACCTTTATTGTTGTTGCTTTACCACGCTCACTGGTTTCACTGTTAGCTGCTCCTCACTCGTCGAGGGTCAATGACTCTGTGGCCACGTGGCCGAGAACACGTCGGCAAAGCAAAACATTTCCTTAAGAAGCAATAAAACCAGACGACGTCGGTCAATGAAAAGTGTTTTCATCATCTAACTTACATCTATTTGTTTGCGTTATCCGAGTTCGATCGCGGTGATTTTCTGACATCGGGACGACGCATATCTGAGCCCGGTCCTGGGCCCTCCCGTAGGTTGTCTCAACGCGAAATGAGCGCCTGGTGCGGTGTGTGTGTGTGTGAACATTGGCTCTCCCCTGCCATTGCGCCGAATAATCACGAGGTCTGCCTCCGTCCATAAACCCGTTGTGCCTTGCGATGTCGCGAAATAACCGGTTAAATAAAAAAAAAGAAGTCAGGTTTATGCTGCCGTTAATGAGAAGCAGAGCAGATAGATACGTTTCGCCCGACTGGTTTTATTAAATGTAAGTCATTTTTCTCTGCGTGTGCCATTTCATCGCGACGATGATAAATAATAATCATCATAACAGCAGAAGCCGAAATAAGACAACAAGAAGAAAATGTAACTATGATGAGCTCGTGTTTGGAAGAAAGAAAAAAAAATTCCATCCGAGGAATGAGTTCGATTTAATGAGTAGACAAAAGTGATCCTAAAATGTTAACGAGCAGTGACAGCGCATCTATGACATCACCAGTGTTTCTGGGTGAGGTCTCTCTGGTGACTATTACGAAGATAGCTCGTGCTATAATGTGCAAGTGTGTGTGTTTATACATAGCGTCCCTTGAGGGGGGTACGGGAATCTATCGAAGTGTAGCGAAATGCGTAATTAACTCAGATTGCCACATACGGAGATGCATCAATAACTGCGTGTGTGTGTGTGTGCTGAATGTGCATGTAGAGTACAGTATTTTTTTTATTCATGTTTCAGATGGAGCGATACAATCAGTCCGCGTTCTGGAGCGACATCGATCTTGGCATCGCAAGATCGCATAGATGGCTCTAGCGCTATGGGATGGAACGGGGTGGAGGAGAGAGGGAGGGGTCATCCAGCAGTTGGATAGATCGTGGCTCATGACGGTGACTTACTCATTATCTGCGAGGTTTCACCACCCCTGCAGATGTTCACAAAGGGCATTGCGTAACTGGAGGCACAAACTTGCCGTGACATGCCTATTTGATAAAAAAAGCCGCAGAGACAACTTGAGGGCCTTTAACTCTCGATTATCCGTGGGCAGATTATCCGGGTAACGGATTCATTGGCGCTTGCAAAGTGAAAACAAAAATATACGTATCGAAAAATATAGTACTTACTGTACAGTACAAGTGTTCAATTCCGACGTGTGGCTATTTTTAAGTACGCACGCTGCTTTCCCTCGCAGTGTCAGCGGCTCAACGATCGTGACTCATTGACCAATTACTTAAGATGCAATAAAAGCATGGACAGTCGACGTCTTCACCCCCCCCCCCCCCCCCCATTCGTCGTAGTTAAGCAATAAGCAGGTTCGCGTGAAGCCTAATTTGCACGTGTTCTGCACTATCGCAATTTTTTTGTAATCCGGGTCAGCTCTGCCCAACCGAGATAGATTGAGTGTAAAGGCAGGCGCCGTAAGGACTCACCCCACTCCCAGTGCCGGATTATCCTAGTAACACAAGTAGCTACACATGTAGTCGCTACGGGCCCCGCACTTTCAAGGGCCCCGTGCTAAATGCTTTCAAGCTATCAATTCCGGTTCAGTTATTCTGCACTTGCTCTATTACTATAGTACTATACCGCCTTCAACTTTTATGAACGGCTGGGTATTTAAGGCTAGCGATTTGTCGTATTATGCGGCTATATAGCAAATGCAAAAATACAATTACTTTACTATGAAAATGTAAAATGTGTTTTAATATTAATGTTTTTTTTATTTAAGGCCCCTTAATAACATATGCTACAGACCCCGCACTAGCTTCATCCGGAACTGCCCACTCCCCGGAGTCGAGGAGTTGTCCGGGTGAAGGGGAGAGTGTCGTGATTACATTAGAGCGGCCTCTAGCGGCTGCCGGGGCAGGACACGCGAGTCAATTTGCAGGCAACACACTCATAGAATAACGTCGATTTTCGAGCGCGCTCTTCGACGTGCGTTATGTATGGATCGTGGCATTCTGGATAGATCGTAATCCATGAATGATCGAGAACGATCGACGCAATTTTATGCAAATCCTCTAATCAGGGCTTAATTTCAGCCGCGGCTGAGCTCAGGAAACAAAAAATCCCACCCCTCCCTCCCGTCCATTCCCCACCCCTCCCCACGCTGTCGATGTGGGGAGAGGGTGCGGGGTGGGTTGGCTCGTGGGTACGGGGGAGTTGAGGGGTGTCAGGAAATATTCCGTGAAAAATTAAGCCGTGCAACCCCCGTAATTAATCATTAGAGGCGCTACGCTTGACGCGTAATCATAATTGTGAGCCGCGGTCACACGCCAAGCAAGCGCGTGCTGCTGATGGCTGATGGTTGTTAGACGGTGATGGTTGTTAGACAGTGATGGTGGTGAGCTGGTGATGATGGTGAGCTGGTGATGGTGGTGAGATGGTGATGGTGGTGAGATGGTGGTGAGATGGTGATGGTGGTGAGCTGGTAATGGTGGTGAGATGGTGATGGTGGTGAGATGATGATGATGGTGGTGAGATGGTGGTGAGATGGTGATGGTGGTGAGATGGTGATGGTGGTGAGATGGTGGTGAGATGGTGATGGTAGTGAGCTGGTGATGGTGGTGAGATGGTGATGGTGGTGAGATGATGATGATGGTGAGATGGTGGTGAGATGGTGATGGTGGTGAGATGGTGATGGTGATGAGATGGTGATGGTGGTGAGCTGGTGATGGCGGTGAGCTGGTGATGGTGGTGAGATGGTGATGATGGTGAGATGGTGATGAGATGGTGGTGGTGGTGAGCTGGTGATGGTGGTGAGATGGTGATGGTGGTGAGATGGTGATTATGGTGAGATGGTGATGAGATGGTGGTGGTGGTGAGCTGGTGATGGCGGTGAGCTGGTGATGGTGGTGAGATGGTGATGGTGGTGAGATGTTGATGAGGTGGTGGTGGTGGTGGTGAGCTGGTGATGGTGGTGAGATGGTGATGGTGGTGAGCTGGTGATGAGATGGTGGTGGTGGTGGTGGTGAGCTGGTGATGGTGGTGAGATAGTGATGGTGGACTAAATGGTGGGCCGTCAGTGAGGGAGGGTGGGAACGGAGAGAGGGTCGCCTTCCTGTATCCTCAATCTTTTTTAATTCCAATCCAACTTTAAATCACAAGAAAGGAGAGAGGGAAAGACGGCGCAACCGAAATAATAATAATAATAAAACCACCACCCCGTCTCCGTGATCGATACTTATTTATCGGAGCTGTAGTCGCGAGCGATGGGATCTCTAACAGGCGCCAAGCCGCGCGTGTCCTCTCAACAGATGAATGGTCATTAGCGACGAGCCGTGCGGGTGAGGAGGGGGGGGAGCTTTTTTCCCAGTTTCCTTGCCCCCCCCCCCCCCCGAACGCCCCCATCTCTTCGTGTAAGTTGCAACACGCCAACGATGCCGGGTTCGAGCAGTACACCCGGGGGCCACTGCGGTAAAGTTTCCCCGCATCCCGCGGGGGGTCGGGAGGGGGCTCTCACTTCGGGTGCCCAACCGGGACCCGAGCGTGAGGTCAAGCGGTCTTCGTGCCGCGTCCTCGCACTGTCCGTCACGGTTAGGTCGTCTTGGAGACAGCGCTCTGGTTATTCACCACCACCGCCACCACTACCACGACCACCGCCACGACCACCACCACCGCCACGACCACCACCACTATCACTACCACGACCACGACCACCACCGCCACGACCACGACCACCACCATCGCCACTACCACTACCACCACCACCACGACCACCACCACCGCCACGACCACCACCACGACCACCATCGCCACTACCACCACCACCGCCAACGCCACTACCACTATCACTTCCACGATCACCACCACTATCACTACCACCACCACTATCACTACCACTACCACGATCACCACCACGACCACCACCGCCACTACCACTATCACTACCACCACGACCACCACCACCACCGCCACTACCACCATCGCCACTACCACTATCACTACCACTACGACCACCACCACCACCGCCACTACCACCATCGCCACTATCACTACCACCACGACCACAACCACCGCCACTACCACCACCGCCACTACCACCACTACCACCACCACGACCACCACCACGACCACCACCACCACTACCACGACCACCACTACCACCACCACCACGACCACCACGACCACCACTACCACGACCACCACC